AAAAAAAAAAAAAAAAAAAAAAAAAAAAAAAATCACTATCCCTATACCTTAAAAAACTCTACCAATAGACTTTTTAAAACTGGTTTGGCAATTTTAATGGACCAGTTGTTACCCTTCATGAGCCCAAAAATTTTCCTACATTGTTTCTATTGCCTTTGCTTTTGCATTCTATCATTTTTTCTTCTTTGGCAATCAAACCCTAGAATCGCCTTTGGAAATTAAGATATTTTGATTTTAAATAGTTCAAAACGCGTTGCAGAACAATATATAAAATAATTGATACAATTTGATTCCTCAACTCAATTAGTAGTACTTCTAAGGTCGACGCCTGACCCAGAGATGTGTATGATCCAAGGCACATTAGCATGTCGTACTCCTCCTATTCGAATCAGGGTTTGAAACCAAACCTCTCCTCTAGAGGATAGATAGGGCGATTTGGGTTAGATTCAATGTGTATCCAACTTTCGATTCACTCATGGGATTCGAGCGGTCCCGGGGGGGGGGGGCCCACTGCTCCTCTCTTCTCGAGAATCCATATAACGGGCTCAAAAGAGAGAGTCTGGGTTAATTAGAAGAAACATCTTTAAAAAATTAACTAAATGAATCTGTAAGCAACTTTTGGATCATAAAACCTCCTTCTGGCTTCTCAAAAGGCATGCCAGATGGATCCTAAGACAAGCAAATCCCGAAGAACAAGAACTCCAATAATAAGAAGAATAAAAGCAAAACAAGAACTTGAACAATTTAAAAGAAGGACTTAATGATCTACTTGCATCCTCGCAAATTAAAATAGCCCATTCTTCTAGACAATCAACTCTCCTATCAAGATTAACAATGTTAGCCCAGACCCCAATCAATTTAAAGATCATAAAAGTGTAGATTGATTCAAATGAATAGAAGATACATACATTTGAGGTGGGGGCGATTGGAGTACTTCTTCTGCATAGCCTCGATCACGACCGAGGATATATCAATGTTTACAACATCCTCATATCCATCATCAACCATTCCCTCACTAAAGGCTGCAAAATCAATCAATCGTGACAAATCAAATCGTGTAAAGTAAGAGAGAAAAAGTGAAATACCGGAATTCCCACAGCCGACGACGAGGACACGATGGTGGTGGTGAGGGATGTAAAGGCGAAGGAGAGGTGAAAGAGAAGGGTACTTTTGGTACCAATCGGAGGGACCAGGATCCTGTGTGTAGCGGTTGTCCCAGTACCATGGCTCGCCATATGCTTGAGTTTGAGTATTCATTACCAAAGGTCACGATTCAACTCTTGACACAGAGAGATTCCATTAACAATTGGCCTGTTTTGTAAACCCTAATTCAATCCAGGGATTATAGATCGATTTTGTTTTGATCTGTTGGTTTTGTCGGATCATATGGATTATGAAGTTTGTTAACAAATGTCGGACAACCGACTTGCCATCTCAGTTGTGCCTTATATATATATATTATTAGCATCCAGGGCACATCTCCAAGTAGTTAAAGGGGAGGGTAGAGAAATTCAACTTTGCTTGAGACTGCTGCGTCAAGGGTTCAAATCCTGAAATATGGATTTGGCTCTTGAGTAAGTGTAAGTGTACAAGCAGCCTTCCATCCTGTACCCTTAGAAGCATAACCTACGATTTACCTCCCTCACGATACTCCAGGACAGAAGTGGTGGGGGACCCTTAAGGTTAGGGTTTAACCTTTTTCAGTTGTGCCTTATTACCAAAAATAAAATAAAAATTTGCTGTAAAAATATTGATTAAAATTTAAGTTAAAATCAATAGTTAATTTTAATCACGCATTTTACGGATTCACAACTTTTCAATCACACGTTTTATCGATTTCTATTGAATCTACCAAAATAAATAAATAAATAAAAATGGATTTTTCTCTAAACCAAACAGAGTTATATACGAGTAAAAACTCTCTATTTATAAAGACCATTTTATACATAATAGACAACATATTTAAATTTAGAGCTTAATTTTTTTATGTACTACAACAATGTTATATTAAATCACTCTATTGAATATTTATTGATTTATCTTCATCTCTTATTTAACATAATTTTTTTATATATTAGTTGCAAATCAATTCACATATGATTTGAATAATTTAAATATAGAGTATTAAAAGTTATAATTCAATAAATGCAATCGTTGTTAATTAAGAACAGAGAATTTGGAGAGCCTAGTCCAATATTTATCTTATAAAGTTAAAATTGAGAATCTTTTAAAGTTTAGTTTTAAGAATTAACTCTCTAAATAGAGACGATTTTGTATTTAGAGTTTCCTAAATATGCTCTAAATTAAGTAATCATAAATTACGAAATCTCTAAGACTATAAAAAAGAGTAAGAAGGTTATTACATCGATCACAATAACTTATTCTTATCTCAAATCAATGAATTCACCGAATATGACGACCACTACACTTCCGAAAGGAGCCAGTTTATTTTCATTTTTATGATGCACAACCAATCATTTAAAAGCTGAATTATGGCGTTATTATCAACTATGCATTTGAAGAATGACAAATAAAAATTTAATGACCCAATTGAAATTTCACAGAAAGTTCAACACCCACGAACGAAATTCCTGTCAATGACAATTAGTCTATCACCATGAGGTGGTAGATAATACGGTATTACCTCCATTCTCACTAGCAATTTTCTTTTTGATTTTCACATAGTTGGGGAGAAAGAACCAACTCCGACTTTTGAAGTTGAATTACAATGTTAATCTATAGAGTTTTACCATTTCTCTATATCTCGTGTTTTCACATCATTGGCTGCGGCCAAAATAACTAACAAAAACCAAGATATTCAAGAAATAACCCAAGCTAACAACAAAATCTAACAATGAAATACAGGAAAGAGCAAAACTGCTTGGGGCGGGGGGGCGGGGCGACGGCCCCTTCGCTAGGAAAGTAACAAAAGGCTCGTAAGCGAAAGCAAAAAGCTCGACTCTTCAGACACAATTCAATTCACATTACAACACCACCAACAAATTAAACCGATGAGTTCTCGACACCAGAAAGTTGTCTAGTGAAAGCTATATTTTGAAGGATACCTGTTCAACTGAACTTTTCTTTACCACTCCTCTAGTACACAACTCATTCAATAACTCCAAAGCCTCCTTCGCCAACCCTTCATAAGCAATGCCTTCGATCAGAATTGTGTATGTAGATTCAGTAGGTTTGCATCCCTTCGATACCATATAAGCCAAGAAATCAATGGCATGATCTGTTTTACGAGCCTTGCAAAGCCACAACATGATTGCATTATATGTGATAGCATTGGGCCTGACACCTCTTTGTTCGATATCATGGAAGAATTTGATAGCTTCATCAATCTTTCCTTCTCTACTAAGTCCTCCCACAAGCGATGAGTAGGTGATGATATCAGGTCGGAGCCCTTTGTCCCGCATTTCGCCCAATAGCTGTATAGCACGTTCAGTTCTTCCCATCTTCGACAGCCCATCAATCACTGTATTGTAGGTGATCAAAACAGGAGAACAGTCTTTGCTATTTAGCTGATCAAGTATCTCAACTGCGATATCAACCTTCCCTTCTTTACATAAAGCTGTAAGCAGTGTATTATAGGTCACAATATCGGGGTAACACCCCCGGGATACCATTACCTCAAGATACTCAATCGCCCTATCCATCTTCTTTTCCTTACAGAACCCGTGAAGCAATGGATTGTAACTCAAGGAATTTGGCGTACAACCGTGTTTAGGCATCTTCTCCAAAATATCAATTGCTCGGCCAAGTAATCCTCTCCTACACAAGAAATTAATCAAGATGTTAAAGGTGACAACACTTGGTGAACACCCTTTTCTAAGCATCTCCGCCAAAAGTTTCTCAGCATCCATCCACCTCCCTGTACTACACATACTTCGCAAAATGATGTTATGTGTGATTACATTAGGTTGGCAACCGTAGGAAGGCATGTCATTCAAGAACTTAATTGCATCGTCCAATCTGCCTTCCTTGCAAATTCCGTTGATAAGAACATTGTAAGTAACCACATCAGGCTTACAACCTTTAATCCCCATTTCATCCAAGAGCTTCATCGCCTGTCCCACCCCACTTTCCTTACAAGTGGCTTCAATCAAAATCGTGTAGGTTATCACATCAGGATAACACTCCTTCTGCAGCTGCTGATCAAGAACCTTCATAGCTTGTTTCAACTTCCCACTATCACATAAAGTACGCAAAATCGTATTGTATGTGACCACATCCGGGGCAACGCTCATTCGGTCCAAGACTCTCAATGCATTATCAATCTCCCCCGACTTACAATACCCACTAATCAACACGTTATAAGTTATAACATCAGGAACAGCTCCGGACTCTTCAAGAATCTCCATGATTCTAGTAGCTTTCTTAGTCTTTCCAATTCTACAAAACCCACGAATCAAACTAGTGCACGGGATAATATCGGGAATGTCACCCCTGTAAACCATGTTTTCGAGGTGTCTAAACCCTTCCTCCAACTCCCCATTCCTTACCAACCGGAGAAGATAGTTATTACTCTCAAATTCCTCAAAATTTTGATTCGAATTCCCTTGACCTTGTGGATTTTTTTCCATATTCGACAACCTTAACCTACCATTTGTACCACGAGTTTCAGTCTTTGAAACAGCCAACACCCGATTTCTCCGTCTTTTCCTAGACCCATCAATTTTCGGTTTCTCCGAAACAAAGTTGGAACAACAAATTTTAATTCTATGCTTAATCAAGCTCTGCTTGCGAATAGGATGATGAAATAAGCAAAAGTTTTCATGGGTTTTTCTTGCTGACATCATTAATTCCATTTTCAGCCAATTTAATCTCCACAAAAATGTATATGCTCCGTTGTTCACGGTACGAAACTATATTTATGAAAAAAAATATACCGACAGATTAAATGAAAGAAAGCTTACTCTTAGAGAGGTTTAAGGTTCAGACCCGGAAAATGATTTTTGCTCATTTGGTCTGTCGCCGCCATGTTTCTTATCCTAAGCCATTGGATGATAGGAATATTTTACGCTTAAAATTTACAGGCAATGGGAAATTTCTTACTGAAAGGAATGAAAAATGTCACAGCATAAAGATATATAACCGGCTCCATTTTTGTCAATTACTCTAATTAGAACGAATCAATTCCTGCTCCCATTTTTTTCATTAAAATGAAAAATATGATCATTATTTATCACATCAAACAATCAAATTTGAATTTCTATCTCTAATATGGGGTCCGTAACGACTATATTTTTCAATCTCATTCTTTCAAAAATAAGAAACAATCGAGAGGCAAGTATTTCTTTAGGCCGGATTGGAATGATCCAAATACATGCTGGATTTTCCAAAATGACCTAATTAAACTAAATTTAGTAACTGATTGCAACCCTGATAAAAACATTAAATAGCTCCTAAAATTTAGGAATTTATTATAAAAACAATTGGATTGTGGAGAACTTATCAAAATTTCAGTATGCCAAGAGTCGTAATAGTTACGTCATTTTTTATCTTTTTAAAATTTTAAAATCAACTCATAATGCTCACTTGATATGTCATCATTGTATTGTGTATTTGGAGGTATTTTTCCAAAATCCTTTTTGATTATGTTGAAATCTCTATTTCATCCATTTCGTGTTACTAAATAATGAGAACTCGTGTTTGTTTGATTGCAAATTCATACAAAAATAATTTGTGATAGAACATGGTTGACGGAAACAATTTAATAAAAAAATGGTTAGGTAGTTAAATCTACATTTCAGCACTAATACAATATAACATGCCTTATGGGATGATTGGAATGAAATTATAGACGTATGTTAGTTTTTATTTTGCAACATAGAGCATGTACTCAAGCCAATTCCATGGAAAATGGAATTCAAATTCTACTTTTTAGTTTCCACCCATTTTGTTTTGTTTGATGGACAACATTTTTCATGAAATTTGGTTTCTACCTTACCCTCCCACGTGACCCTTTTTCTTGATTTTCAAGGAAATTGTTTTCCTTCGGTTTTGGTGGGAAAGTGATTTCCAGCCTTTTTTTTTTTTAATCAATGGAAACAACTTTTATCCACAATTATAATAAATTATATCTCTTTAATTGATAATTTTCATAAAAAACAAAGTCAAACGAATATCAAAAGACACAAAATGTCAATATTTTTCAGGTGAAAAATTATACCAATGAAACACATTTAATCGACAATTCCCAATAAAACAAGTTTTAGGCAATTCAATACTCTGAAATTTGTTTTCTTTCCACTAAAACTTCATTCTTGCAAATGGACCCTAAGATGTTGACTTGCTGTAATACAACTTGTAACATTTTACCATTTTAAAATATATAATATTGTTGATACGTTCGCAATATAGTGCTTATTTTTCAATCATATGGTGCATCCTATATCAAGCATGGTGTTGGATTTGTGACCCAAATTCATCTAGAGTTTGCGTCGTTTAGTGTATTGGGCCTTTTAAATAGAGTTCAAGGAGAAAAATAAGCTATCCCTCATGTGGCAAGGTTGAGTTTTCAACCGATTGTTGCTGTCTTGATTTTTACTTATTTTTTCATTCATTTTTTTTTTGACTAGTTATTATCTTTTGGACTATTATTAGGGTTATAGGGGACTCTTCTTCACAATTAGATTAATTATCGCAAGTTAGAATTGTGTAGGAACACACTATTATTGTAATTTCGCTGTCCATTATATTTGAATACAATTTCTAATTCCTTTGCCAAATTAATTAAATTTTGTGTGTGTTCATGTTATTGTGATCAATACTTCACATCTTGAAGTATAATCTCGTCTTGTTTCCAATAAGTGGTATCATAGTTTTGACTTGATTTGTTCGAGATTTTTTTATGGCAACCATAAGGTATGACATTCCGCTTTTGGACCACAACACTAGATTCTCGTTTGTGGTAGGTGAAGATGGGAGCAATACTCGCTCGGATGGATCTGGATAATGCGTTATTAGGATTTGACAAGATGTCCACAACTTGGATGAAGGAGAAGAAACAATCGAAGGATTCATCTTCATTTTTTCAAATAATATTCTTCAGAAAGCTTTGAAGGAGAAAAAACACTTGCATTGTGGTTGAAGTTGGAGCAAATCAAGACTCTGACAAGCAAATTACACCTAAAGCAGATATTGTACTCTCATCGCATGACAGAAGACGGATCTTTGGAAGATCACCTAGTTGTTCTTAAGGAAATTGTTGCTAATTTAGAGATTTTAGATGAAAATTATGATGAAAAAAAATATTTTCGCTTCATTTAGATACATGATTTTATATAGTCGTGATAACTCTCATCATTGAAGATGCATATGATGCTTTGTTTTTCAAATGAGAAGATGAAACATTTAGTTGGATATGAGGCTAGAAATGGAGAAGGCCTTGTTGTTAATGATTGTCACAGACTGGACAAGTCAAAATCTAATTTTAGTATTCAATTTTTTTTTTATTTTTTTATTTTTTATTTTATTGCAAGAAGAAAGGATGGATCAAGAGAGATTGCAATAAGTTGCACAACAAAGATAAGTTGGCTGCAAATCAGAAGGGAATGTAATTAGATACTTCAGGAGAAGCCGATGTCATAGAGAACTATTTGAGTTATGAGGATGTCTCGGCTATTTCTGATGGTGAATCTAAACCTCACAAGGGTTAGATCCAGCTTGTACTTTTCATAAATGTCCTAATTGAGATTTGTTTGCAATATATGAAACAGTTTCAAAATATTTCGTAGTCATGAAAAACAACACACTTTTGTTGGGTAATTGGTATTGGTGGAGTTTCACTTAAGTTGTTGGATGTGACAGTTAGAACACTTGATCAAGTTCGACATGTTCCAGATTTGAAAAAAATCTCATCTTATTGGTTGCTCTTGATGTAAAAGGATATGAGTTCATTTGTGGATGTGGAGTTTTGAAAATTTGCGGAGGAGTCTGGGTTGTATTGGAGGGGAGAAAACAATTCCAGTTATACATCTTGTAAGGTCATGCAGAATCGTTCAAGAACAATTAGCAAATGTTTAGTACCATAATGGATATTCAGTTTGGTATAGTAACATTGAATTTGTTTAGAGATCCATGTTGAAGAATATAGTTCAATTGAGTTAAGAAGATATGGGTAATGCCGTTTTAACACCATCACCAGCTGTGCTAGCGTATTCAATTGTTGGGGATAAACCCAGTGGAGATAGGTTAGGGGAAGCTAATTTTGTTGCTCATGCTTTAAGTGTATTTTAAAGTGTTTAGTCTAGCAAGGGGCCTTCTACAAAAACATTTGTGTTGATTTTTTTTTTTTAAGGATATGTTGTTGGAAAATAAGGGGTTGGAGAAGAAACAATAACAAAATTATAGAAACAAAATAAATAGAAATCACGAAATATGTCAAGAAGAAATTTGAGACTTGAACACGGGATCGTTGTCCTCAAACTATATTTACCCCCTCTCGGGATTGAATGAGATGTTTAAGGGTTTTGGCAAACGATCTGTGGGATTATATCAAATTTTGTAAAGGATTTAACACCAAAATATAAGTGCAATCCTCCGAACTTTAAGATTATGGAATGATATATGGATATCAAGATATTTTCAATAATTCTAATAATGTTTGTATTTATCATTCATCACCTATTTATAGGTCTCAATCAATGCATCATGAAATGGTGCCAAAACAAGATGAAAAGTGACAACTTTTAATCTAAAACGACTCCCAAGTTTCAAATTGAAAAATCAACCAACATCTATTTTTTAACACTATGCGTATGCATAGTATAAATCGTGCGTACGCATAGTAGAAGCAAAATTTAATTTTGATTTTTCCAAAACACATCTCGCGTACGCACAAAATTAAGCATGTGCGTACGCTTAGGCAAAAAACCAAATTTTGCATTTTTCAATTTTTTTTTATTCTACCAATTCCACAATTGAGCCCAACAATAAGTTCATTATCATTTCATTGATTTTCAACAAATTTTATTCGCTAACATAAGTAAAATTACTTTTATCCATTTCATTGTCAACGGTACATAATTTGATCATTCCTTCACACGAATAGCCTTTTCCAACAAATTTTTCATTAAGAGATAGTACAAGTTTGCCGGACTCATAAACACATTTGATGCCCGATTTTCCCAAGAGATTGCCACTAACTAGATTCCTATTCATATCCGGAACATGTAGTACATTAGTTAGAGTAACGGTTTTCCCGGAAGTGAAGATAATGTCTACACTTCCTTTTCCAAACACCTTGGACCGCATCTCACTACCCATTTGAATCTCTTGTTCTCCATCCACTTCTTGATAAGATTTGAACAAAGATTTATCATATGATACATGTATCATAACACAAGTATCATATCACCACCCGGGAACATTTCCTTTGATTGCGTTTACTTCACTTATGGTAGCCACAATTTTGTCATCTTGGATGAAATTCACTTTGACCTTGAAGTTGTTTTGTTTTCGGTGCCTACAATCCTTGGCATAGTAACGGGATTTTTCACACACAAAACAACCTCATTTTGTCTTCTTCTTGAACTTGTTAAAGTTTCTAGAAGGCTTCCTTTTGTTGGATTTTGCCTGCGGTTCTATTTTTTCCACAGCCTTTGCTTTAGAAGAGCTCTTATGAAAATTTTCAATTTTATCACGTATTCTTGACTTCTCTTCGATTCGAAGATGTTTTTACAATTGTTCCAAAGAATAATTTTCGGAACTATGCATGATCTTTTTCCGGTATCCTTTCCAAGTTCCGGGAAGTTTGGCAATCATAACCCCCACTTGAAAGGTCTCCGGTATAGCAATTTTCACCGCATTTAGTTTGTTGACAGTCACTTGCAACTCATGTACTTGGGAAAGAAAAGGGATATTTTCTAAAAATTTAAAATCAAAATACTTAGAAATCAAAAATTTCTTTATACCTTTTTCTTCCGTCTTGTACTTACTTTCCAATGGTTCCTAAATTTCTTTCGCCGAAGTTGTATTGGTGTATAGATCATACAAACGATCTGACAATGCATTCAAGATGTGGCCACGACAAATCAATTCATCTTCTTGGTGTTTTTGTCTCTCAGTCTTGATTGCTTCGGATTCTCCATTCGTTGGTTCCGGCAAAGGCGCCAAATCTGGATCAAGAATATAAAAAATCTTTAACGCCGTTAGGAGGAATTTCAACTTGTCTTGCCACCGCGTGAAATTAGTCCCGTCAAAACGATCCAATCTAACCAGATTTTGATTCATGAGTTTGATGGTTGCCATAGTTGTATCATTCTCCATTGCGGGATACAGTTTGAGATTGTTGAAAAATAAGGGGTTGGAGAAGAAACAACAACAAAATTATAGAAACAAAATGAATAGAAATCACGAAATACGTCAAGAACGAATTTGAGACTTGAACATGGGATCGTTGTCCTCAAACTATATTTGCCCCCTCTCGAGATTGAATAAGATACTTAAGGGTTTTGGCAAACGGTTTATAGAATTATATCAAACTTTGTAAAGGATTTAACACTAAAGTACAAGTGCAATCCTCCAAACTTTAAGAACACAAAAGAAGATCTTGAATATGAATGTAAATCAATAGTTTGATTCAATATGGAATGATATATGGATCTCAAGATGTTTTCAATAATTCTAATAATGTTTGTATTGATCATTCATCACATATTCATAGGTCTCAATCAATGCATCACAAAATGGTGTCAAAACAAGATGAAAAATTGCAACTTTTAATCCAAAATGGCTCCCAAATTTCAAATTGAAAAATCAGCCGACAGCTATTTTTTAATACTATGCGTACGCATAGTATAAACCGTGCGTACGCATAGTAGAAGCAAAATTTAATTCTGATTTTGTCAAAATACATCTCGCGTACGCACAAAATTAAGTCTGTGCATACGCATAGGCAAAAAATCAAATTTTACATTTTTCAATTTCTTTTGATTCTACCAATTCCACAATTGAGCCCAACAATAAGTCCATTATCATTCCATTGATTTTGAACAAATTTTCTACATATGTTTCCGCCCTATTTGGTAAATTAGAAATCATTTGTGATTTTTGGGAACCCAAGGTAATAATGCGAAGCAGTTCTTAGATCCATATATCCTAATTGGATATTGTGGAAGAGGTAGATAGTTTTTGATTCGTTTGAAAAGTTAGCTCGATTCTTGTTAAAGAGTTCAATTTATTCCTTGCAGTTGTGTTTTTTTTCTAGTGGAGAAATTTTTGGAGCTTCATTCATTACAGAGAAATTTGTGTAAAAAATGGAGATTGTTGGGTCAGAAGTTGACGGCGCTAGCCTACCGTTAGTTGAACCCTCGAGCGACGATATGGAATTTTCAACAAATTGCTACTGCCCATTTGCCGCTGGACTAGTGCTTGAGTGGCGATCACCACTCCAGCGTTGCACTATTTTGATTTTATTTTTCATGTGTTTTTGACCTAGTTTTCATCTTTTGAGTTATTATTAGAGTTTAACATGTACCCCTACAAATAGTGAACTCAATTTTACAATTAGATTCATTGCTATAAGTCAAAATTGTGTAGGAATACAATACTGATATAATTTATCTATCCATTATAGTTGAATGCAATCTCCAATTCCTCTACTAGATTAAATTTCTTGTGTTTCTTGTTGTTGTGATTAGTATTTCATAGTGTCCTATAATCTCGTCCTATTTCCAATACGTAGCATGTCTAAAGTAGTAGTATCATGTAATTTTTAAAAGATGGGATGTTGTGAATCATGCTATTTTATGTGATTCTTGAACAATTACATGATGTATATTCAACATTTATTATTATTTTTATTATTTTTTTTTTTTTTTTTTTTTTTTTTTGCGTTCGTCAATTGTATTTTGCTACAATGTTATGTCACATGTAATGATATATCACAAAGGATTGTTTGAGCCCCATTTTTTATTAAAAAAATGGATTTTGAAAATAATGTTACGATGGAAAATGTGTGGTTAAAAAATAAGGAAAAATTTTGAATTTGCGTGTAATATTATTTTATTAAAAAATGTGTGGTTGAAATAATGTCAAATCACTATTAAAGAATGTATTTTGATAAAAAAAAAATGAGGCTTAAACTGACCAATCGAGTTCAATAAAATAACTAAACTTTGTTTTCTTATGTAATAATTAATTCCAACTTGAAAAAATTACGTATTTGTTGAAAGCGACGAATCTATTGAAAGTCAGATAAATTCTCAAACTACCCAACTTGAATAGGATTGATTCTCAATTTATTTCTAATAGCATAAAGATTTATGTAGACATCTCAAAATTGATTTTGAGTATAAAATGATTATGGCATGTTCGGTAGTGATATTGAAAATTGATTTTTTGACCGTTATGAGAAAAGTGGGGGTCACATGTGAAAGAAAAAGTCAAAACTTAATGCTGAAATAGTGAAATAACGATAAAAAAATCAATATTTTAGGTAAAAATCACTCTCAAACGGGGTCTAAATAAAAAAGAAATAGACACAATATTGTACATGACACAGTGACCATTTTATGGGTTGATCCATTATAATAAAGGGACAATATTGAACTCGATTGGTCAATTTGACAGCCCACCAAGACGAATCAAGTTGACTTGATTATTAAATAAAACAAGAGAGTCAAACTCTCTTTACCTTCCTAACATAATGATTCTTCCTTTCTTCTAAATTCTAAATCGATTTCTTTTCTTTTTAAATTATCAATTTTTGGCTATAAAGGCTTATTTTTCTATAAGTTTTACACAATCTCCCATCTCTCAAACAAAAATTCCCATTTTTCTGATTATTTCTTATTCTCAAAATAATGACATTTAACCAAAAAGTCCACTTAACTGTCATATGAGAATCTCTTGAGGGCTAAAACATATGGGAGTAAGTTGGGTGAATTACATATTCTTGCTTCCTTGGGTATGTTATTCAATGCTGCAAACAAATGAAACTCAAAGAAAAGGATAAACCCATTTTAGCCTTTTGGAATATCACCTTTTTTCTTCTTTAAAAGCTACATTCATTCCTACCAAAAATCCATTATTCAATTCACCTCAACATCTACATATCTTCATGGCAGATCTTATCTTACCGGAACAAGACGGTATGCATTTGTTCGGTGACATTTTCAAATTTTTCTCAAGTTATACAGAATTTATATAGAAATGTTTTTTTTTCCCGATCTAAGTCTAATAATCCTTTTTTTGTTTATGTTTTTTGGTACTTTATTAGGGGTCTCGAGGTCAATCTCAGATACACCACCTAATCACTATACGATGAAAATTCAAAATTTTTCTCAACTCGCAAAGAATAAAATCGAGCCGTACCATTCAAATGATTTTGAGGCTGGAGGCTATAAATGGTATGAGAATTATGTATGAATATATGTACATATTTCATGTACTTAATAATTATTATTTAGAGGGGAAATTTAAATGTGAAATTAATGTTTTGTGTTAATTTAAAGGAAGTTGTTGGTTTACCCTAATGGAAACAAAGACAAAGGTATTACGGATCACATTTCTTTGTACTTGGCGATAACACAAGTAGAATCATTACTTCCTGGTTGGGAGATCCGTGCAACTTTTCGATTATTTTTGCTTGATCAAAACGAAGACAATTATTTCATACTCGAAGGTATGGCTACCTACACCTACTTATTAAATTAAAAAATTATTGAAGTTTGTTTAATTAATTGCCTATTTCTCGGATGAATTAGACATCGCGGGGAAACGGTTTCGTAGAATGAAGCTTGAGTGGGGTTTCAATAAATTTGTACCTCTCACCATCTTCAATGATCCCGAAAAGGGATATTTGGTGAATGACACTTGCATGTTCGGAGCCGATATTTATATTACTCGAGAAAGACACACCGGAAAAGGAGAGAATTTATCAATGATAAAGGATGCCATTAGCTACAAACACACTTGGAATATCAACAATTTCTCTACTCTAACCAACGAATGTCTAGACTCTGAACCCTTCAGTGCTGGCAATCAAACATGGTATACATCTTTTTGGGTCGTACTCCAACTCATCTCGACTATTTTATATATGCGTAACAATTAATACTCGTGGGGTGGATGCAGGAAGATGCAGATATATCCAAAAGGGAAAGGCAGTGAATCAAGTAACTTCATATCCTTATATCTGGCATTGGCTGAGCCGGAAAAACTTTCTCCTTCTACTAAAATATACGCAGAATTCACCTTACGTATATTAGACCGTTATTATGGATGCTACGATTTACATGCCACAGGTAAAGTCTTGGCTTAACAAGTTACTATGTATATATAGATTTGTTTTCACAGAAATTAATTCGACTGTTGATAAAAATTTCAGTTAATCACTGGTTCACTGCAATAAATTGTGTGCGAGGTTGGCCGAAATTTGTGTCTGTGGGATACTTCAACGGTCAATCGGCTCGCTTCTTGGTGAAGAACACCTGCTCCGTCGAAGCAGAGGTCACTGTCCATGGCATAACTAATGCACTTTGAGAAATACTATATATGAACACAAAATGTTATCGTAGTAATATAACAATGTCGAAAAAGCCTTTGTTTGTGAATATTTTATTGTAATTGTTCAATATCGTGAATAGCTAATATAATGGACTTTAGAGTTCGAATTATCTTTTCTACATAGATCGTTATTTAATCGTTATTTTACTATTCCTAACTCCTATTTGAATAAAAGAATTAAATGTGAATCGACTAATTAAGTTCCTAAATATACTAATTCTACAAAAGCAATTTAAAAGTACTCAATTAACTCAATTTAGGGTTTTTTTGTATGAAAGGAGAATGTTTGGACTAGCGATTTTAATGTAGTTATACTTATTACCTTTAATCTCTCCTCTCAAAATTCATCTTAATGTTGTATTCAGTCGAATTCTTTTAAGTAACGAATTAACCTCTTGAGTTCATGATAATCCTACGCAGTCAAGCAATTCGTCATATCCTCTTTGTGAATTTGAAGAAGCCTGAACTAGACGCATTCAAGTTCCTAAAAATTCAATTAATGATCATATCTAAATTGCCAAATTTCAATACGTGATCTAAACTTCTAATTTAATTCTCAGTTTATTACAAATTCACAATTCAATGTAATAATGGTCAATTATTTCATAGCATTAAGTACTATAAGTAAAATCAATACATAATTTAAAAAAAAAAAAACCTTAAATACAAAAATCTTGAAAATTAAAATTAAAAGGTCATACTAGGTTACATCGTTTGTCTCAACTATGAATTTAGTATATATGAAGTGGAAAGAAAAATATAAAAAAAGAATTGAGTATACCACCGAGTTTTGAAATAAAGACATAGAGAAGTCGACAATCTTGCACCAAATATCAAAACCCTAATCTTGAAACCCTATCTTATTCAATTTTCTCCTTGATTTTTTCTATCTAGATCTTGAATTAGATGTATTTTCTCTCTAAATTGTGCCTCCCTTGGAAAAGAATGAATAAGATAGGTCTAAATCAGGCTCCACATCATATCATATCCTTTGTAGAAGTAACTTCCATATGAAGCCATTTGGTGCGATCACATGGAAGAGCAAATTTGGTATTGCATCTTCTGTAATAACCCTTGCGATAGCATCGTACGTCACCGTGCAATAGCAAGTCACTGATTATGCTTTCTTGTTTAATCCAATTCCTCCAATATTTCCTATTCAACACTTTGATTTCAATTTTGATGGTTCGAATTAGTACAAAATCACACCTATTACTATTAGCGTTCGATCGATCTAATAAAAAGGATTCGTGAGTTTTGGTTTAGACCACTTTTCTTTTATAAATTTTTAATATAATTCCAATCATTAAGTTTCTCAGGGATTTAAAAGGAAAACAATTGATAAATAAAATAATAAATCTATATGTACATAATTTTTTTGTACTGTCCTCCACTCACATGGGATGAGGTCCACTTAAATATTTCTTCCATTTGATGTAATGGGGAATAGGAAAGAGAACAATATTTTAAGATGAGATCAACATATAATATGACTCATCTTAATTTCAATCGAGTCATTAGACTTCAGTTTTAACATCTCTTGCAACAATTTTTAATATTTGCATAACATGCAGGATAGTGCTTGGTCACACTTTTTAATATAATAAATGCATGATCGTAATCTTCATTTTACCTTTTTCGTTCTCAGGATATCATGTTACGATTGTGAAATTTCTGTCATCTAAATAATTTTATTAATTTGAGGGACGCGACTAAGGGTGGGCATGGGTTGGGTTGGGTCGATTTTTTCCCCAACCCAAATCCAACCCAACATGGTCGGTTTTATTTAAAGTCAACCCAACCCAACCCAATTAATGGTTTAAACCCAACCCGATCAAGTTTGGGTTGGTTGGTTTGGGTTTCGGTCCAATTAAAGTTCGATTCAATTATCTTTTTGTTAAGTTTAGATAAATTTTTAAAGTTTGAAATTACTTGAAAATTTCTGATTTTTTTTTTTAAATACCTATGTAAGGAATTCTTTTTGAAAAGTGATGTATAAATAAGTTTAAAATTTATGAAGTATTTATTATTTTTATTATTTTTTTTTT